GCCCATCATCATCCTCATCTGGTTGTAAGTAGGCAATCTAGTATATTATTCGTGGCACTAAACTCTAATTTACCTCACATTAAAGAAACACTATAGTCCCCAGAACCACTTCAGCTTAATGTAGTGGTTCTGGTATCTATAGCCTGTCCCTGCAGGCCTTTTAATGTAAACACGGCGGCACTGCAGCACTGGCGTTAGTTAACATGGCAAATCATATGGCTGGGGCATTGTGATGTCACATGGGGGGCGGCAAACTTTACTTTTGCCTTGGGCGGCAAAAATCCTTGTACCGGCCCTGGCTGGAGGGGGCTGTGTGAGCTGTGGCGCACAGTGTCCCATGGTAAGTTAGGGTGCCGTGCGGCCAGTACAGCTCACACAAGCAAACAGCTGATAAACTGGCCGCACGGAGGAAATGTGTATGTGTGACTGTCTGCCTGTGATGGTGTGTGACTGTCTGCCTGTAACTGAGTGTGTGACTGTCTGTCTGTAACTGAGTGTGTGACTGTCTGCCTGTAAATGTGTGTGTGGGGCTGCAGGGATTTTGTAGAAGGGGTGGGGGTTTTGTATTGGGACAGGAGTCTTTATAAGGGGGGATAAGCAGGGGATTTGTGGAAGGGGGTTGCGGGGGTTTTGTAGATGGGGCAGTACAGGATTTGTAGAAGGGGCAGGACAGAGGTTTTGTAGGAGGGGCAGGGCAGGACAAGGGTTTTGTAGGAGGGGCTGACAGCGGTTTTGCAAAGTTTACAAATTGTAAAAAAAAAGAAAGAAAACCTTTAACATTTTTACAGGTTTTTTTTTTTGGGGGGGGTGCCAAGCACAGGATCCGCCCCTGGTGCCAAATGCTCTAGGTACGCCCCTGCTGCCCCCAATACCTCAGCACCGCACAAAGCTAGTTCCTTGCTGAACCAAAGACCCTATGACATTATTAGTCTATAAGGCATAGACCTACTATTCACAGTGAAAGGGTCCCAAATAGGAACAGAGTATATATGTATAGCTCGCTGTCTATGCCCACCCCCCTTCCTACGGCAACCCTCCAGCCCAAAGTATATAGTATACAAACACTATATATAGAGATTTCTCTATATATAGTGTTTGTACACAAACACACAATGTAAATAAATATTGTTAAACACACACACACACTCTACCTATTTCTATAGGTCCCTGGACTATTCTTATATTTTAGTGTGTGTAAAATATTTAGTGTTAAATGTTTTGTCTGCTCTCCTGTCCTGCTGAGGATTGCTACCAACTGGGTAGATTTGGCTAAGGAGCCTGTATAGCTCCATCTGTTGGTAGCAACAGCAATATGCCTGCAGGCCCGGACTGGCAAATGACTGGTGGGCCACGATGGCTATGGGCCGAGGCCGGCAGGGTAGGTCACAGGGTCTCCCTGGCCGGTCCATGCAGGGCTCGCACTATCCGAGCACCAGCCCTGTTGTATTTCATGATGAGCTGGTGGTGAGATCAAAGATCTACCTCAATGGCCCACAGGCAGTGAAATGTGGCCGCTGGCCTGGGAGGGAGACAGGAGAGGACCGGGAGGAGCTCTATCTTGCAGCTCCACCGGGTTCCTCTTGCGAGATTTGGAGCGTTGCAATGGCAACCTTCCAGTCTCACGCAGGCTAGAGTTCACTCACCACTAGGACCACCAGGGATTGCAGCAAGGTCCTCCCTCCCAGGCATAAGGTAAGAAGGGAGAGTGGATACAATGCTTGTTTTTTTAATTAAAAAAAAAAGAAATACAAATATATTGACATTAACCTGGCTCCCCCAACACACAATCCCTCGAAACATATTCACACACACACAGCACTCTCTCTCTCACACACACACACACTGCACCCTCACACACACAGCATCCCCCCTCTCACACATCCCCTCTCTAACCCCTACGGTTTGTCACTGTAAGCAGAGCTGAAGCAGAATAGGCAAAGGGGGAAATACCTGTCTGGAAGAAGGGTTGCAGCATAATAGGCAGAGGGGACGATACCTGCCTGGAAGGAGAGCTGCAGCCTGGTTAGGTGGAAAAAGCTCCAGAAGGACCCCAGTCAAGCTGTGGCGACTGGGGCAGAAGTGCTTGAAGTTTCCCGGTTTCAGCTAGGAAATGAGCTTGGCGAAGGTATCCAGCTGGGGTACAGGGAGCTCAGTCACAGTGTGTAAAGTAGAGGTGCATAGAAAGCAGCTTTCCTTTTGCCATATTCTAAGTCAATTACTCATAGCGATCAGTTACCTGAGTTAGAGATGAGCACAGGCTAACCATACAGGGTTACTTGCTAAAGTAAGAATTGTCAGGACTTCAAAGTGAAGTCAAAATTCCAAAATAACCAAACTGAAACAGAATTGAAAAGAATAATAATTTTAACTAAGCTATTTTTGCCCAATTTTTTAAATTTACCTTTCCATTAACTTTTACTTTAGTGCATAACAATGTAAATTAGTTGTTCACTAAAGTAAGACACCGTAAATTTGAAATGAATTTACATTTAAAGTCCAAATAGGCGAACTGGAAATAATCGCCAAGTCAGCTATGTGGGATATTTATCTATCAGGGTTATTCACTACAGTGAGAAGTGAAGGTGAATTCAAAGTGAATTTAAAATTTAAAGGGACACTATAGGCACCAGGACCACTTCATCTCATTAAAGTGGTCTGGGTGCAATGTCACTGTCCCCTTAGTCCTGCAATGTAAATCATTGCAGTTATTGAGAAACTGCAAAAATTACATTGCAGTACTAAGACTGCCACTAGTGGTTGTCAGTCAGACAGCCACTAGAGGCACATCCAGGTGGTTAAGAGAGTTTTGGTTGGCTAACTGACACGGGACATCCTGAAGCTGTGCATTGAACCAATGCGTTTCTACAGGAGGGCACAATGTGTTTGCTGTAATCTGGTAAGTGTTAAAAGGGTTATTTAACCCTTGCTGTGATTTACACTATATAATCCCATTAAGGTCCAAATAGCTGATCTGGAATAGTCATGTAAACCAGCTCAGAACCTCTGTCCTTAAAGGAACACTATAGGGTTAATAGGTTCCCCACCTCCTGCTGGGCTGCCACTTACCTTAATCCAACTGCTCCCTCAGTGCCGGTAATCTGTCCTCCCCTTGCCGACGTCAGCTCCCAAGTGGAGCCAGAGCCACACGCATTCAAATCTGCCCATAAGAAAGCATTAGGATCTGAAATGACACTGGACTCCATGAGGACATTTTCTCACTCTGAATCTGAAAATCATGGAAACTGGATTAACCCTGCTATGTTTTTTCAGAGTCCAGTGTTAAAGCTATCCGACCTGAGACTCAAACCACATTGAACTGAAGTGGTCTGGGCTCCTATATTGGTCCTTTAAATGTGAAAATCATTCATTTTTTAAATAACCCTATCTACTATTTTGAACCCCTTTTACAAATTAGATTAGTTTGATCATAAACCTAGGAGATAAACTAGCTAAAATCCACATAAAGGGGGCACCCGGATTTGAACCAGGGACCTCTCGATCTGCAGTCGAATGCTCTACCACTGAGCTATACCCCCTGCTCCATGCACCTATATAAAAGACATCACTATATGAGGATTCTTTTTTTTCTTTTTCAAGACTGTACTGTAGTTTTCTAGTTTTATAGATTTTTACTAATGAAAATTGACATTATAGAAACATTTTTCTTTACTGCAAAGCAATTTATGTATCTGGCTTATAAAACAACATAAACCTTTTAATACAGACAACTCTCTTTTTTGTTTCACAAATCAAATAAGGGCTAAGGTAAGTGTGCTTTTCCCTGAACAGCACATTGGCCATGGGTTGCTCAATAGTCCTATCAACCTACCGTAACTAGCTATATACCATGTGAGCCCTGAAAGTGTCAATGCAAATAGCATTGATTAAACTAAACCTCAAGGTGCTTTTGCTTAAAATGTTTGCTCAGTATTTAAATGACAAGAGATGAAAAGTGAAATCTATACTTCATTAAGTAGTGTTATTTCAGAAGGGAACTATTTAAATGAGTAAGGGGGGAAATAAAAATAAAAAAATAAAATAACGAAGGGGGCACCCGGATTTGAACCAGGGACCTCTCGATCTGCAGTCGAATGCTCTACCACTGAGCTATACCCCCTTTATACATATAAGGTAAAACAGGAAATTCTATTGTGGAAACTAACACAGTATGTAACTGTGCTTTCTTTTCAAATTAAAAAAATCCCTCAATTTATATAGGTTCACTTCAAATGTTACTCTTGTTTTTTCATTAAAATTTTGGGGTTTATTTACCCATCATTACATTGTATCAAACAGTAATCCAAATGGGATGATTTATTTACAAAGTAGCCAAGCTGTGCATATAGGCTATTTTAGCCTAGGTTTTGCCATTTGGATTACTATTAGCCCCAATTTAGAGTTTAGTGAATAAACGCCTTGTGTTAGCTAAGTTATATTTCCTAGCCATTTAGCTATCATAATAAATATGCTGGATGTAAGTAAGTGTTATACTTGTAAAGTGCTTTGAGTCTCACAGGGAAAAAAACGCTAACAAAATTGCAAATTATTATAATTGTTATAAGTTTTAAGTACCATAATCAACACAGCATGTGAGCAACATGGCACTCCTTGATCCATAACCACTACAGTGTGATGCAGTGGTTATGTTGCTCTGAGTATTCTTTTACTTGAATTCCGTGATATTGTTCATGACAGATTAAATGTTGCCTAATATTCTCTAGCCACATAAACCTTAATTAAGAGATAAGCAAAAAGTGTTACAAAATGTTAACCTATTTTTTTTATATATATAACTAACACTGTGGCAAACACTATAAACCACTATAAAGAGGAACTGTCACTTCTTGTTAATGATTGTTTCTGTTTTCTTAAGCCTATTAAAGGTTTTGGTGCATTCTACATGGATGCTGTGTAAAGTAGAGGTGCGTAGAATGTAGCTTTCCTCGGTCTACTGTGTGTTTCTGGTGGTCACCCACGGCATATTCCTGTCATGTCACTGATGTGCTCAAGCTGTGATTACTCATAGAGATCCGTTACCTGAAAGAGTTAGAGATGAACACAGTCTAACCATACAGGGTTACTCGCTAAAGTGAGAATTGCTGGGACTTCAAAGTGAATTTAAAATTTAAGGCCAAAATAGTCAAAATGAAACAGAAATTTTCTAATTAAGCTATTTTTGCATGTTTTGAAATTCACTTTAAATTCTCAGCAATTTTTACTTTAGTTTGGAGAGGCAGGTCTTCTCCCTCTCTCACAAGCCCCAGCATTGTGCCTCTTCGGGGCGTTGCCATGATGACCTGGGGGGGGGGGGTGGGGACCTGCCAGGGATGGAGGATGGAGTCTTCTGGGCCCTTTACCACTATACAAGCCAGCAGTGGCCTGGTAGCAATGGGAGTGTGTATATATATATATATATATATATATATATATATTATATAGCAAAATCCAAATAGGCTGGAGGGGCGTGGCCTGGGCGTCGCCTAAGCGCTGAGCTCCGCTCCACAAAAGCACAAAGAACGGAGCACCCCACTACTCACCGGCGCGCACTGCCACCAATGGGTCGCACAAAGAGAGGGGACCTCCCCCAGACCCCCAAACCTTCGGTCTCGGGGTCGCAAACGGGGCCGATGGATGAGTTCCTCCACGCGCCATGCGGCCCGGACCCCAGCTCCCCGACATCCAAAATCGCGCCGACCTCGCCAGCATCCACATGCTCCACTGCCGACACGACTACACTGGCAGACATCGGAGCAGAACTGAAACGCGTGGCAATGAAGATGGTCACAAAAGATGACCTCACCCACCTGACTAACAACATATCTGAAGCAATTAAATCTGAAGTGAACGGCCTGAAGGCCGAAATTAAAGCACAGGAACACCGCATACAGCAGGTGGAAAAAAGGGCACAGACCACTGAAGACCACTCTACAGCCACAGACACGGCCCTCAAACGCCAGGGCACCCTCATACTGGCCATGAGGCGACAGCTAGAAGACCAGGACAACCGCAGTCGTCGCAACAATATCAGGGTAAGGGGGATACCTGAATCTCCAGAGGGGGAAAATATAGAAGAGATGCTCACCTCCCTATTCCGCATCATCCTAAGGGAGGACACACCAGCGATTATTAAATATGACAGGGCACATAGAGCACTCCGCCCCAGGCCCACGGAGGGAACCCCCAGGGATATAATATGCTGCCTGCACTCCTTCGCCACCAAAGACATGATCATGAGGAAAGCTAGATCCAGGGCCCACTGGAACTACAGGGGCGCAGAAATATCCCTCTACAATGACCTATCACCAATGACCCTGGAGGCTAGAAGAGCCCTGAGACCGGTTACCACCATCCTGAGGGAGAGGAATATGCAATATAGATGGGGTTACCCATTTAGCATCACAGTTAGATATAATAATGAATGGGTCTCCGCACGCTGGCCAGAAGACATTCCTCAATTCCTACAACGCCTAAACCTACCGCCAACCCTGGTTCCGAACTGGGTATTCATGCCGCTGGATCCAAGACCACAACCGCAGCGACAAGCAAGGCGAAGAAGATGGAACTCTCAAGGTGAAGCTCCGCGACACCGACCAGACCTAAACAACCCAGAGGAATAACCCAATACCAGACCAACTGACACCGCTCCGGCAGACCCCACAACCCCGAGACAACACAGACAGATGACACCCACGTTGGAGAAGCACCTGGAGGCAAACCCGCACCCCAAGAATCAGGTACTCTGACATAGGGTAGTTAACATATTGGCACGAGTCTAACAGAGGGGACACTCTACCTACCCCCCTGGCATGGGAGGGCACCACGCCTCACCACGAGACTGACCGGACTAGGGGATATCTCACATGCAAATGGGTCTTCCACAACACGGGAGGGTTCTAAACAAAAAAAAATAAAAAATAAAATATATAAAAAAAATAAAATAAATAAAAAAAAAAAGGGGGGGATGAAAAGGGAGGGGCGGGAAGAAAACGACAGCGGGGGAATGAATCCTATTGGGGAGGGGGATCACAGGGGGGAGGGTCGGGGACATAGAGATCGGGCCTTAGAGACCTCCGGCAGCATTGACTTTCGTGAAGACGAAGAACTGATTCCACACTAAATGTATAGCTGATTGTGAGACCAGAGACTGTTCTTTATTGTACGATTATTGTGAGTAACCTATCTTGAATGGCTAGACTATGCAACATCACTCTGTGTCACTGACCGGGCCCCCCCCCCCCACGTCAAAGGGACCGACATACATAGATAACACGCTTCCAAAGAGGTCCATACACTCACAATTCCCCCACACAGACGACACACTGATGTCGAGAAGATACTAAGCAAACGACCATCCCACCACCCCCTAGAGGAACAAAAGGTACGGGGGACGGGGCAAGAGGACATAGAGGAGGGAGGGGGGAAAGAAGGGGGAGAAAAAAAAAAAGAAAATATATACCCACATGACCCAGATGAAACAACCCAGACACAATGAGTAGAAGACCCACAATGCACACACCCTGAAGAGATATCCTCAAGCCCCCACTTTGACTACACGCAAATTACCCTTACGGTACTTCCCCCCACCCGATACCAGCGACACCGAAAAGGCGCCACAAACAGGCATAGTGCTGATAACACAATGGACACACATCAATGGCATTAGTGATGACTATACAACACCTCTACTACAGTGGACGGACGCTACAACCACAAAACGGATATACACTCCTACACAAATAACAGATTCTTCCAACGATACACAACCCTTCTCAAGTATCAACTCCACAACCAACACCGCACATACCACACAGGCACCACAGCCTAAACAGATAAGGGCCCAGACACGCTACCCACCCCTTTCGGTGCGCACGCTTAATACTACGGAGGCCGACTGGTACACCACCGGGATAAAACCCGGGGTGCCCCCCCGACCGACACCGTAGGCACACGAACTCCCTCTCCGCGGAGAGGATCACCTCCTCACACTATCACGACACGCGCACCACATCTATACTACTCTCCAACATCCAATTAAGAAACACACACCCCCATCACACGAACCAGACATGGTGCCTGACATCACTGAAAGGCACTGAGCCTGAGCAGACGACTCCCCTAGACCACACAAGAGCAAATACCAACACACCACGTACACCAGACACCCTACACGTGACCGCAGTCCAGCAACTCACCCGAACGCCCCCCCCCCGGCGCTCCTGACCCGGCCGTCGCGTCCGCCTCGAGCTAACCACCAGACGACGCAGGGGCACCGAACCACACCAAAACCCAGGAACCAAGCCACGGGCTCGGGCTTCCTCGGTCGACTCCCACGTACACAAGAGAGCGAGACTCGGACGAGGGACCCCGATACCCGACAAGACACCACCGCTGCGCGGAGATACGGGCAGGATGGCATACAGACCAGACCCGATGAAAATCATCACACAAAATTGCAGGGGACTGAATCTCCCAGAACGCAGAACTAATCTCTTGAGGGACCTTCAGAGAGAGAGGGTTACAGTCGCTCTTCTCCAGGAAACTCACTTTCGGGAGGGAGCGGCCCCGGCACTCAAAAACAAACAATACCCCACTAATTACTTCAGCAACCACCCCACAGCGAAAAAGGCAGGGGTCGCGATCCTTATAGCAGCTCGTCTACAATTCCAGGAACAGGATCACCTTATAGACCACAACGGCAGATACGCCTTCGTAAAGGGAAATATCGCAGGGCGATGCTACACGTTCGCGACAATCTACGTCCCCAATAATAATCAATCTAGATTCCTTAAGAACCCACTAAAGGCACTAACAGACTTCACGGAAGGAACCCTGGTCACGGGAGGAGACTTCAATGTCACACTAGATCCTAAAGTAGACTCCTCAACGGGACACAGCAGCATTCCACAGAGAGAAATAAGAACCATAAACCATACTCTGAAAACACTGCGCCTGGTAGACTGTTGGCGAACGCTAAACCCATTAGACAGAGAATACACTCACTATTCCATAATACACAAAAGATACTCCAGGATAGACTTCCTATTATTGCAACAAGAAGCACTAATAAGACTTAGGAGAGCATCCATACACACTGCAACGTGGTCGGATCACGGACAAGTGTCGATAGACCTCGAATCTCCACTCATAAGACCGACGAAAACGACGTGGAGACTCAACGACTCCCTCTTAACCGACCTCCCACTAAGGGCCCAAGTCACCGACACTCTACAGACATATTTTACCGAGAATGAGACGGGAGACGTATCAGATATGACAATATGGGAGGCACACAAAAGTGTACTCCGGGGCAAGCTCATCCAAATCGCGTCACAACGGAAAAAAGAGGCGGGCACACTTATGTCAACCATCCTGGACCGGATCCACTCCCTGGAAACACAACACAAACGCCAACAGGTGGAAGATACCTACAGGGAACTATTAGAGGAAAGAAGGAGACTACACGCACTACTACTCAAGAGACACCTGAGACAACTCCGCAGATCTAAAGGGTTCTTCTACCTCCACGCAAACAAAGGAGGCAAACTCCTCGCACACATGCTCAGGGGACAACAACACCCCTCACAAGTCCACAAATTAAAAACAAGCAACGGCACTACTACCCAAAACCCGGAGAAAATCGCCAAGGAATTCTTCACTTACTACTCCTCACTTTACAGTACACACTCACAAAGCGACGAAGAAGGCAAGCGAATCAAACAAGGTCACATGGAATGCTTCCTGAGAGAACATCTACACACGACGGTGACAACCGAAGACGCAGAAACCATCGACCGCCCGATCACCGAAGACGAAGTTAAGACAGCTATCAAAACGACGAAGACAGGCCGCGCACCCGGACCCGACGGACTTACACTGGACTACTACAAACGCTTCCAAGATATACTAGCCCCCAAACTTACAAAGGCGCTCAATGCCATCACTGAGGGACATGCATTCCACGCCGAATCACTATCGGCCACAATTACAGTAATCCCAAAACCAGGCAAGGACCCGGAAATTTGCAGCAGCTACAGACCCATCTCCCTCTTAAACGTGGACACAAAACTCTTTACCAAAATATTAGCTACCCGACTTAGCAACCTAATGCCAACACTCGTACACCCTGATCAAACGGGATTCATACCGGAACGGGAGGCTCGAGACAGCACTCTGAGAGTTCTCGCTATACAACATTTAGCAAGACAACATGGAACACCACTCCTGCTACTCTCCACGGACGCCGAAAAGGCGTTCGATCGAGTTGACTGGGCATTCCTGGAAATGACGATACGACTATTGGGATTTAATGACAACATACAGAAATGGATCGGAGCGATATACAGCACCCGACGGCAGCGGTGCGCGTTAACGGAGCCTTGACGGAATCCTTCCCGATTCGCAATGGCACGAGGCAGGGGTGTCCCCTGTCCCCGCTACTGTTCGCATTAACATTGGAACCCCTATTGGAGGCAATCCGACGAAATATTAACATCACGGGCTACAACTGTACAACCGCCACACATAAAGTAGCCGCATACGCGGATGACATGTTGTTCTTCATTACACGTCCAAGACTCACCCTACCATGCCTAATGGAAGAATTCGAAAAATACGGACGCCTCTCGGGCCTCAAACTTAACTTGAGTAAATGCGAACTGCTCAACATCACAGATCCGCTTGGGGAACACAGGGATATAGCCTCGACCTTCCCATTCCGTTGGTGTCATACCCAAATGAAATACCTGGGGATATGGGTGATGTCTGACCCAAATGCCATATATCAGAAAAACTTCCTCCCACTTCTCACACGCATTCAACAAGACCTCCGAACCTGGAATTACCCACACATCTCATGGTTCGGCCGCATAGCGGTCATCAAAATGAATATCCTACCCAGACTACTATATTTATTTCATACAATCCCAGTGACACTACCGACGACCTTTTTCATGACAATAAAAACCGCATTCCTGACCTATGTCTGGAGAGGATGCAGGCCTAGACTACGATATGAACTATTATGCAAGACCAGGAATCAGGGCGGATTGGCACTCCCAGACCTACGCAAATACCACCAAGCGACAGCCTTGCAGCGGATACTGGAATGGCATACTAACCCGAGATGCAAACAATGGGTGGCCTTAGACAGAGAATCCTGCAGCCCATCTATTTTTGCATCCCTATGGAATCAGAAAACGCCACGGCGACACGACCCCGGCACAAATTCGCCAGCGAGTCACACCCTCCACTTATGGTCTACAATAAGGAACACAACGACCATCTCCCCAATACCCAGCCCGATGACCACGCTAACACATAACCAAGCAGTGGGGGGAGGACTACCGATCAAGGCCTGGGATTTTCTAGAGGGAAGAGACTTCATACCACTCCACAAAACACTAACCGCCTCAGGACTGACCCCCCTGGAACGCCTAATGGAAGGCCCGCCAGCTCCCATGCACAAATTCCGATACTCCCAGCTGACGCATTTCTACCACACCCTACCGAACAAACAAGCGGTACACAGAACCCTCACGTGGTTTGAGGACATCTGCGACAAACAAACACCGACTCAGAAACCAACGTCGATGCTATACCAATACCTAATCACAGGTGA